TTTATGGTTAGCCTTGTTCCTGAATTATTGTTACTAGTTATAGCAAATGAGTTTCTTGGTTGCTAGTAGTTTCGTGGTATGATGTTGTTTCGGGTGAGTTAGGCTATCGGTTGTGCATCATGTAGAGTGATCATGTTGCATGTAGCCTAGTATTGCTAAGTTGTGTGCGCATCATGCAAGTGAGGCATGGTGTAATGGTCCCTCGTTGTCCGATGAAGTCGTAGCATTACGCAGTACGGCATAATGTTGCGCCATGGCGAGATGTGGNTAGCACCCATAGGCCATGATACACGACGGTGTATTGGGTTTATGTGGGTGTTCCGCAGAACTCGGAATGTTGGAAGACTTCGTGTCTTACATTCTAGTACCAGAGACGTGAGTGGAGGGATCGGCACAGGGCCCATAGGATGGTTTCATATAGGCATGATGGTTCGGTTGGTTAACTTAGAACTTGCATCATGTTGCATTGTTTCCTTGTTTACTTCATAGTCTGCTTATTTGCTGTTGTTGTTTGTTGGTTACTTGGGGATTGGGTGGGTTATTTTCAGGCTNTGCTCACTGAGTAATTTTCAAATTGNTCATCCCATCACATTTTGTCCTGCAGGTAACCTTAGGGGGAAAAGCTTGTAGCGGGCCACATTGGACTTAGGGAAGCCATAGTAGGTTTTTCTGTTGATCTTGCAAATTCCTTAGTATGTATTATGTACCCTCACAAATGAATATAAAATACTGAACATTTTATATTTCTTAAAACTTAAGGGATACTAAACCCTAATAGGTGAGTCTAAACTCTCACAAATGCACGTAAAATATTGAATGATTTAGATATATTCTATTATAATTGGTTGGTTTCAGTTTGTTGGTTTTCGTATAAATTTGTTTTTTATTGAAACTTACGATATGGATTAGTTGCCTAATAAAGCTAAAATGTTAACTCGACTTGATTTTTAGTTAAAAATACAATTAATTGTGGATAGTTAGCTTAACTTTGATCATTCGAGTCGGTTTGACGGAAATATAAATTTGATTTTAAAAATGTATGCAACGTACGTTTGTTTCTTTCTATGAGTTATGAAGAACATATAGTAATCCAAGACTACAAAAACTTATATGGTGAACCGGGCAGGTATCACATGATAGCAGTCAGGAGGGCTCATTAGAGCAACAAATTACTTTAGATGCAATCATTAAGGTAAAGCTAATTAAGTACATCTATCAAGAACCCTATACAGTGGTAAAGAGGTTTCTTGTCCATTAAGTTCCAAGGTATTGCATCTATATAGAGGCTACAACATATGACTTAATTAGCATTGACTCGATACAAACGATAGACTCGGCCCAACTAGGGCCCAATA